GTATTAGTTTTGCTAATAAAGTCATGTTGTTTGTTTAATAGACAATAAATTATATTATATAGCGCCGAGTCCTTAACATTCCAGGATCTGATAGGTTATGGGAAACTAATAAAACCTATTTAGATACAATCACTGAATAAATTATATTACATTTTATTAAGTGTAAATAATAATTGTTTTAAAATGATTACCTATTTGCTTACGCTGGGATTTAGTCCCTAAGCTTCCGACAGTTTATCAGCCATTTTTGGTTTAAACTGTTAAATAAAAAAAGTAATTTTAGTTATAGCCTATAGGCTCTAAAATCAAAAGAAAAAAAGTTTTTGTAATACAAATCTTAATTGTATTCGAAGAAGGAAAACTTCAAGGTCTATTAATGTACATAAAAATACTACAATCATTAGAACAAACAGCGTTATCACTATCACAGTACCGTATCACATAAGTGGGGTCCCTGATAACAATCTGACATATTTGTAATCTATACATGCGTACTAAGATAACGACTTATAGAAATATTAATACTAGAACGTCTTCGAACATTTAAATACCAGTATTAAATTTAATTATTAAACGACAACTGAAGATCACGAATAAGATAAGTTAGAATAGTTTAATCACAAAAGCTGTAATATAATTTAATTCATAATATAAAAGATTATTGCCTGAGAACAGCAGACAGCCAATTAATTCGGTAAATCGAAGTTTATCCACTTTCAAACCATCGAGAAAATGAGATTAGAAACAGATCATATAATGCGAACTGTTCAATTAAATAAAGATAATTGGATATTTATACTATAATAATATTATATTGTGTATTTAAAGTTTCTTAAATATATAGAAATCAGTAAAGTATAGGTACGTTTTAAATTTGAATGTACTGGCTACTATCAATATGTAAAGAAGTTAAAGGCGTGTAAGTTATAAATCAAGTATTTATTGAGAATAACAACTACTAGTATACAAGAGAAGTAAGCAGATATTACATTAAAAGATGGGTGTCGTATTATGATTATTGACCACATGTTTATTGATTCAGCTGAGCAACGCACGTGGTCACTTATCAAGTGAATTCCCTCAGGCGCTTTGATAGCTTAGAATAAATTAAATTTAAAAGTATCTAAATAACAAACAAATATGCTTTAATGAAATTTAAGATTTTTTAAAAAATCTTTTATGAACTGTGAACGGTAAAGACTATGTTATTGGTCATAATTATGACATATTATTTAAATATTTTCATGATTAAAATGATAAATCGTGTATTATCAGATATACATAAATTTATACTGATATTGATAGGCAGACCTCGAACGCATAAATATAAAAAACAAAACATCATCAAACTATGAAATAAATAAATTAATAAAATTAAAATAATGTTGATTTATGCAAGTGACGCACAGCGTGGGGACATATTGGATGTTGGAAAACAAATAAATTTCGAGGCTGAAGCAAAGCAAATGTTCGCTCTGTTTGCAGATGCGGATGAGATGTGCTATATCATAATTTATATTTGTCATAACATTCACGTACGATAATCCTATACCAGCCTAGTTAATATTCAACCGTTTGTTGAATAAAAAAATATTTTTCGTTTATTTTACTTTTGTTCAAATAATAACGATAACATTATTGTTGAAACTAAAACTTCCAACATAAATACTCGCCATTACTCATGAGTTTGTATTCCTTGACCTACATCAATACACACATTGTTTTATATATTAACAATCGGACAAAGGAATTAGTTACGTACAATTATATTTAGCTTGAAAACATACGTTTTATATGAAATGTGATGTTGAATAATTAATTGCTTTATTTATGTCTTTGATAAACGATCTTGGCATTTCTGCGCGACATGACTTCGGTTTATTTTCTAATGCATTTAAAGACTAGTAAAAAATAACATTAAAGAAAAACTTAACAATAAGCCATTAATGTAATGCGTAACTAACAAGCAAATGCAAAATGGAGTTAACAATGAAGCGGAGTTGAGTAGTTTTTCATGTTACTTAGACTGAACTATTTGAATATCATTGGGAATTATTTGATTATTGGTCGTTTAAGTATCTTTAACATTTCCCTTTAGAACATTTATTTCTTGGTTCGTAATTATTATGGTATCACAAACTGGCTGTCATTGAACTGATCCAGGCAAAATGCCAGATTGCCTCACGGACGCGTCAAAACACTTTAAATATTCTACAGGAATAATTTCCAATTTAACAATCTCCTTATTACCGACTAGGAATATTTTATTACACATTCACTTTATTTGAATCATAACTTAATTAATTTTATATATAAGTGTTATGGTGCTAACATGCAAGATATTTGATATAAAGCTTTGGAATTCTTGATAAAATAAGTCAGAGTGTTGTAAAATTAAAACGCATTTTGGAGTCACAATATGACGGAATTTACGACGCGAAACCTCTTTCTTGGAATATGGAATCTTTGGGTCGTGAGACTAATTCACGCGAGAGAATATCTCGTATAATATGGCACATTGAATTTTTGCACATACTTCAATCCACGCGTTTTGCTGCGTTATTCAAATTCGTCTGGATTTGGATCCCTAACATCCACACCATAAAACACTTGAGATGTGACTTGAATTTTAATTATGTAGCTGCTTATTGCTTATATTCTGTCCGAATTCTTTGATATAAAGTGCTTATATTTAGTATAAATAACAATAGAAGAGTAGAACATTAAAAAATACAGAAAAGCTCTCAGACAATAACAAATAGAGGAAACGTAACGAAACCATCAAGAGAAAAATGTATTTATTGAGAACCGCAAATATCGCCAGCAGACATATTGTTTGTGAAAAATGAAATTCGTCTGTACGCTTGTCAGCGTTACCTTTTATGCTGTAAAACTCCAAAATATTATTATTTCTCTTTAGTATTATTTTATTGTCAACGAATTTAAGTTTCTCGTATAATTTTTATTCATTTAATTCTGTAAACGTAGTAGTTTTAGTGATATCGTTGTAAAAGTTGTTTTTATTAAAAGCATAAAATTAAATTCTTGTTTATCCTCATAAGTGATATTTGTGCTTACTTAAATTTGGTCACAATTTATCTTCATTATGCTTTGCCAAATACTGCTTTAATTATTACGTCTCCCTTAATTTATCAAGTTTTAATGTGTGTACATTCGCTCTGTGGCATGTTGAATGCCAAGGACTGTTAGAGTGCTTTATTCCTCTTGTCTTCCCTTTGAAGCGACCACTTGACGCTTTTGTTGTTTAAATAACAAAAACGATTATACGAATCTATAATTACTTTTCGGTGAAAAAAATTTATTAAGCGCGTTCTTTGAGACTCCTTTTCATCGCTATTTCAGACTAGATTACCATAAACATTTTAAATGTTTAAGCTACTGATTGTATCACGTAATTAGAAATTGAGTTATCTGATATCATGTCATTACGTTAAATTCATATGGAGACAAATACAGTCACTTTGCGGTTGTTGATAAGCACCCGTTTCCGCTGAGAGCGAACGGGCTGTAATATTTCCGTTCGTTAAATGTCCAAGTACTGTGAGTTTGTCTCTGATTCTGGAAAAATATGAACTCCATAAAAGACTTTCGATAACGTTATTGCTTTTTAAGAATATGCGTGAAATATATTGATATTCTTAATATATTTTTAATCATGCTGTAAATATATTTTATTGGAATACCGTGGCTTTGTAAAAAGATGAAAAAAACTATAGATTGTGACATGAAATATTGTGAGGTTATCTGTATAAACAGTCTCCTTTAGATTGCTCATTAATTTGGCAGTAACCGAGTACTAAATTTTGCAACTTCGGATCTATTCGTAGAGTTCACCGTTCGCGACCTGGAACATCACTAAAGTTTCAGTGAAACGCGATATTTAACAATTTAATTGTTGCTCATTAGTTCTAAGGCGACAACTTTTGTTCCCATTTAATTAATTAGAATCGTACTCAATTATTTCATTATACTAACAGGCCCATGTTTAGAAAGTTTTCATATCCCTTGATTAATAATCGAGATATGTATATTAGCAGGTGGCACTTGACGACGATTGACAAATCAATCATACGCGCCTACCGCAAATGGTTCTATCATTTATAAAATACACCACTGTTTTGTTGTCGTTCCAATTATGACTGATCTAAAGTTGTCACGTTAATGATCCGTACCGGCTATTGTACTGATAATTTGTTAGCACATGTACATACATATGTACATTTACACTTGCAGTGCTTGGATGGTAGCCCCTCATCTCTTGGCAAACTGCACTATCCTATATTGCAAATCATACGCTGTTTGTTTGCGTAGGTCAACGCTCTCGTCGAGACGTTTTATGTGTTCCTGGTGTCACGACGTCATTCTAATAATAGAATAATAGGAACGTTAACAGCAAACATGCTGGTATGCGAATTTACAGTGTCGATTTGTCGATAATGTTCCTTGCACATGTATCGATACATAATTATAATACGACGTAATACGTCCTACACCCTCGCGGCAAATCACGATAAATGTATTTCCTATGTTATAATAAGTATATTCAGGTTTGACGTTCTTGATATGTTTAATTAAGTTCTGTGACGCAGAAGCAACTTGTTAAACTTTCATTATTATTCGCTTTCACAAATTGCTCGTACGTGAACGGATTGTGTTCACAATCGATCACTGTGGTGCTTGTGAGCCTTTGTTTGACTTCGACTCTGAATTCAGCATAATTGACTTTCAGCTTTCATTATTTAACTTTATGCAGTCATTAACTTGGTATATAGCAAAGAGATTGAGGGGCTTTGATATATATACCCTTTAGAAACTTCTTTTTTAAATATTTTGTATAAAGGAATTTACAATTACTATGTAAATCGATGACATTAATACTATTAACATTTTAAACGAGACAGTTTGTTGTAAAATATCAATGTATTAGGTTTAGTTTTAAAGTAAAAAAGCATGGTCTGAATTATACGCTCTTGTTTCAGATTGAGGATGAAGGTAACCATGGCAACGACGACACACGTTTGTTCATTCTATCCACCTTGGCTGGTCAACACAAGCCCCGTGTATCATGTGCGTTGTGCAAGGAAACCCTCCACGTCTTCGACCGATATCCTTTAGTGGATGGTACATTCTTCCTCAGCCCTCGACAACATACCAGCAGTGCTGTTGAGGTAAGTTTTTGAAATACAATTAATGAATTTCGTAGGCAAACTATACATTTTAACACGAGTGATTGCAATTTCAATAACATATGAATCATTTAAATGATAGAAGTTGAAACAGTTCGAAAGTTAAATGAGATTTGTAAAAGTTTTCTTAAGTCTACAAAATATCCGAAGCGTTCGTTCCATCTCAGTTAAAACTTCTCGACTGGTGTTGTTTATTCAGTGAATTACGACGTGAATGTGAGCTCACGGATACTTACGTGTTTGTTTGATGTTAAAATTAGCATGCCATCCCTTCGCTATTACATCCCCGATGTAAGCAGTTTCGAGACAGGATTTAGATGTTCCAATTTAGGATTATTAATTACATAGAACATTTAATTAGGACTTAAATAAAGTGATTGTTTGAAATAAATATAATTTTATATTTTTTGTTCTTAGGTAAAAGTGGAAGGACGTACGCAATTTTTAACTTGCGTCTGCATGGGATGCCTAGAGCGGTGTGACCCTGAACGCACGATTCGCTGTCGTTTTTGTGGACAAAAGTGGGATGGCTCCTCGTTGGTCCTCGGAACCATGTATTCTTATGACATCTTTATGGCGACACCTTGTTGCGCTGAAAGACTGAAGGTAAATTGCATGCAAAATGAGAATATTCTTTATACCTCCGCATACTCCTACCGATCTCTTAAAAATACTAACGAATATTTTGTTGTCACCAGTGTAACAACTGCTACAAGCCGCTTCTCCATCCACACCAGCGGCTGAACTACTCCGACTATTCGCATCCACTGACATGCCCGCACTGTCGCGTGGTGGACACGCACTTCGTGAAGCCGTTGTCCTACTGCTTCACCAAACGGGTGTTCCCGTTGTTCCAGCAGTGGCCATAACAAACGGCGGTGCCGGGGCCATCTCCCGGCACCCCCCCTGACACGTGGGTGGCGCCATCGCCGCGTCGTTCCCCCCCAGCATTGCGCCCCGTCGTAAACACGAGCATGGCCCGCGCGCCGGAACCGATAATAGATGATGCCAAGTTCTTGACGCCAGCCTTGACGAGTATTACCGAGTCCTTGTCTCTTTTGGGTCTGAGTCCCGAAACTCTCGCCATGAGTCTAGGCGAGTCTTTGGCCGAACGGTATCTGGCCGCTCTCCGACCCAAGCCGGTGCCCCTGGCTTCCTGCGGCGCCCCTCGCCGCCAACCTCTCAATGAACCCTCCAACCTTCAATTGTTCTCCAACGACTTCATCGATTATCTGAACCAGATCGCGTAAGCCGTGCCATGTGGACCAGTGCGTTTATGGACTTTTGTGCGTCCTCGTTGAGGCGCTAGGAATAATTTTTGTTAAAATTAAGTTGGTATTATTGAAAATAATTTTATGTATCGGTTTAGATCATACTATTGATTTTATTTTAATTTTATTCTGCACTTTGTTGATTAAAATAGTTAGATGTTGATTTTAACGATAAAAAAATAATAATTGATAAGAGGTATGTTTAGTGACGCCAGAAATTGCATTTCTTTTTGTTTTCCATTGAGTTTTGGACCGCGATGTTTCCTTCAGAAGGAGATGAAAGAAAAAAAAATTGTTTTGAAATTACCTTCAATTTCAGTGATACTGATATGAACCCTATTTAATAGGGGTTTGAGTGGTGTGTTGTTTAGTTCAATTTAGTTTATTAGTTATGTTTTATTTTAGCAAAATTTTAAACTTTTAAACTTAACCTTAAGTGTTATACAATATTTTTGTAGTTTTATCGCGATTTTTCTTTTCTCCCACCAAATGGCATTGCATTCATAGAAGGGGTTACGGATGCCATGTTAGTTATACATATATTTTTTTTTATTTTCCATACATTTTCACTTAATGGTAGGGGGATTTTAATATTAAGTGATTGCTGTGTCACCAATAATACGATTAGCTTGTCAATATGTATTACATTGTAGGTAACGTTTGTATCTGTTATGTTTTTACTTTAAAGATTTAATCAATTCAGTGATCAGCGGAGTTTAATGAAGAGTGTATAGTGATATCATTATATTTGGAATCGTGCCATATCAAATGAAAAAAATCTTCAATAATCAGAACACATGTTAAAATTATAAGGTTTACGTCCGCTTATCACTGAACGCATTTATTTATGTGAAACAAGCAATTTTTTTTATATATGTATATTTACTTTAATTGGGATATTTCTTGGCTACGTCATAATTTAGACATAAGGTTTTTTCTTATAATTATCATGGATGTCTATTTATTTATAAGAATAGCGCTTCATATTACTAAGCGTATAAGTAATGCACATTTACTCATTAATGTCTTAAAGTTACGGTATAGGTAAGTTTTTTATACATTTGATACTTATTACTCGCAAAGTGATTACAAGTGATAAAATTCTTAGTAATAGTGCGTGTTTAGGGCGTAGCGGTTTGTGACCAAGTGGTGCGGTGATGTAGGCGCTTATATCCTTAACGTTTAGGGTAACGTGATATCCGTGGACGGTGGTTCACTGTAGGCAATAATTCTATGAAGACTTGATGATTTATATAGGTAAAAAATTTTTGCATTATTCTAAATCAAAACTGCCATTTACATTTTTTCTAAACTAATCGCTGTCCCGGACGATTCCGGGGCATGTGTTTTGGACTGATACGACTGTTCATACATGTTGCGTAGTTGGTAGATCCCTAGGGTATCATTGGCTATCACGCTCCTAATCCCATCACGCCATCACGTTATCACGACACTTCATCACGTCACGTCATCCGCATCACTACACCTCATCTGTCATTCGTCATCAGGCACGTTTGAGTGGCGGCGAACTGGCTGACTATAGACATAGAGTCGCAGTACCATAGTACGGCCTAAAATAGTAACCAGTTCGCTGAGTGTGGTTGTTCTTAAAATACCTCTCGTTTCTTTTCTTTTTCAAATTTTGTACTCTTGCTTGAAGTTACTCTTAAGATTGAGAATTATATCGAAAGTATGATAGCACAGTATAGTATTGTAAATAATGCCGTTTATCTACACGCAGATGCTTACAAAGTGTTTATTGAGATATATTATTACATATTACTAGTTTAGCCATAAATCGATAGTACATAGACAACAATATCAAATATCCCTAATTATTTTAACGTTCGCCGAACTGTAGCGTCATGTCATATGTTAAACAATTTTAATTTTATCGAAGTTTGCTCGTTCGAATATAGAATTATATTTAAAAGTTTTATGTACATTTTATGAATGTATGTAACCAAAAAAAAAATTATTGAAAAAAAAATTAAAAAAAAGTGACGAGCTGTTGTTGGTATATTTAGGAAAATATTAAAAAAAAAGAACCAGATCATCTGATGGTGGCCATGTACAAATGAATAAGTGAAATGACATTACAGTTCGGTTATTTAGTGAAGACACAAATTATAGAAACATATTGTTTAATAGTCAATACAGAGCCATCTAAGTAGATGTTTATGAAGGATTATAATGACGCGAAGCATCAAGTCATATACCCTCACTCCGGTACAAATCAAAGTAAATACGATATATTGGATTATTAAATATCCACTTTTACGAGTTTATAAGAGTCCTCCCAAACAATAAGGATCTTTTTATATTATATAAAGTATGAAAAGTATGACATTACCTCTCTAGATACTAAAATAGAAAAATTTATATAAAGGCTCCTATATGTTTCCAAATATCTTCTATATAACTTGATACATAATACTTTGAGGCGTAAAGTACAAAACACGGGACAGCGGATATTCTGACCATCTTTTATCTTCCTCTTGAGTTTGTTTTGTGATATGATATATTGATTTAACCCTCTTTAGTACAATATATAATAATTTATTAATCCTTTTAATTCAATTACTATATAATTGCGTGTAATTTTATATTTAATATTGTTAAGTATTTTCCTAAGTCGAACTATAAAATTTAGTAGCACCAAGTCCATGAAATCGTAACAACTGACAGTTCTTCCATCTATCAATAATAAGAAACGTGCTGGGATTCCTTTAACTAAAAGGTTTTAATATAACAGGCTATACGTATAAAATATTAAATGGATACGATTTGAAACGAAGGTTGTATAGGTTATAGGAGGCACTTTAATAGTTTGACTTTTCCTACATTATACTTCAGATTTAAAGGTAGTATGTTTTATTATTCATATTCTACTCAATTAGTTATTTGTTCAGTTTTAATAAATGTAATTACACAACGTTGCCGACTTCTTAGTTTATTTGCACATATTTGTTAAATTTTGTAATTAATGACAATTTATTTAGACACCAACATTCGTATTTCTTAATGTTGAATTAAATGTGGTGTAATTTAGTGAATTGCTTAAAAGTACAAAGAAAGGATTTGTTACTTTTGCAAATTTTATATAATAAATCGAATACATATTAAAAATAACAGTGATCTAGATAATCTTTACAAAATAGTTGCTGTAAATCATATGATATGAAACAGGTATTGTTTCGACAAAACGTGTGACTACCGTTGATTTGATTTTAAAGAAATTTTGTTTTATGTTGATAAATTAGGGACAAAAATTGTTACTTATTATAAAACTATATCTTAGACCTATTGATTTTTTTCATTTATATTTATTTTATCGTAATTTATCATGTTTTAGAACAGTTTAGGAGCACTCCGTAGATACCATCGGCGTAATACTTGCTGAATTAGGTCTTATCTTGCTTCACTAACATAGGTTGGTTAAGTCTAACCTACTTTTATCGATAATTCTCACTAAGTAAGTTTCCTTTAAATAATGTGCGAATGGGATGCGTGTTTGTGGTCACATTTAAATTAAGTCATCGTATATTCTTTTCATTACTTATTGCTAATAATCTCTAATGAGAGAATTTATTCGTGTATTTTCTGGTCATAGGCGCCGCGAGGCAGCGTGCGTGTTTAGGGAGTAACAACTTCACTATCATTACTTTGAATACACTCTAAAACCCCACCCCATACTTCTTACTGTTCACACCATAAACATAATTGGTTCTAAATAAGTTCTGTGGTCCTAAATTGACATAGATCTTAAAAGGTCGCGCTTGCAAAAGAATTGGGTCGTTTATAAAATTAACGTCATAATTTCTTCAATAAATTTTAATGAAAACATAAAAATGTCCGTTTATTAAAAATAGTTGTGGGTCGTTTAACTATAAGTAATATTGTACAGCGACTGTATTGTCATCTCGTGTGGTTTATGTGGTCGTATTAAGAATTTAGGAATTTCAAGAGTCAAGATTCGATGACCCAGAACTAAAGCTCAAATTATTCAAACGCATTGGCTGATTATAGTATACGGCTGTTATTGGTTAGTGAAAGCAAATCATGTGTTAATTATATTTTGATATTCGATGTTTTCTACATAAAAGTAGTGTGTAACCTTTTGTATTAACTGTATTTAGGGCTTGTGTCGCGCTCCATCGCATTTATCAATTAGTGTCACGAGATAAATACAATAAATTTATTTTTGTATCACAAAAGTTATGAATGCGATGTGATTGTGGTAATACATTACAGAAATTTTTTCGGGAAACACCACTTTAAGAACAATACCTAAAAGACTGTTTGATAAAAAAAAAAATAGATAACTAACTGGCGTAATATTCCGACTGAACATTTATAAACTATTTTCAATATTAAAGAACATTAGCTTAAGAAATATTAAGCTACCAGATTTTCTTGAAGTGGAACCGATATTTCATATACCAAGCTTGCGACTCAGAATTTAACATAAAAATGAAAAAGTGGAATTGTGGTAAAATTGGTGATAATCCTACGAATTGGTTAATGATAATATAAGTTATTGCGTGGCAAATAGACTTACGTAAAGCGCGGGGTGTATCAGGGTATGAGTGTCATAATTTGTAATAAAAAAAAAAAACTTTTGTACTTTCGTAATAAAAATAAGTAGTGATAACGTTTTTTCTATTAATGTCTATGATAAACCAAGTAATGTACGTTTTTTTACTGAAATCGTAGATGTAGTATTTTTATAATACGAGTGAATTCGTACGTGTATCACAGCGATAATAGGTATTGTATGAGACCGCCCGGTTGTCATTTAAGAAGTCCTCTCGGGTCCCGGGATAATTAAAGTTACTTGGGATTTAAAGATCTCTTCTTGATTCGACATTCGGAGGCGAGGTCCTTTATGTCTAGGTTAAGATATCTTCGCCTATCGTGCGTTTCTGATCAGATGCTTTATAAATGTTTGAATTGCTTTTAAAATTAACTTTTAATTTGGAACATTTAAGCCGTTACTTTTATGGCTTAATGATGAATTTAATCTCCGATACGTTTTTAAAACCGATGCTATATGTTTTGCAGTTCCCGTATATGATTTATAAAGCATCACGTCGCATATTATTTGTTTGTGTATGTCTGGACGAATGGATATTGATAGTGTTATCAAAGTATCTTAATTTTTAGAGTAGTGATCTTCGTCTACACGTTAATATTCATATAGGGTGTGGTCTTATCATTTTTTCTATGTATTCTAATACGATGATCTCTCGTTTACTTACAATTTTTCTGGAATATGGCTCGAAAGTAACAAGGGTTAGAATGAGAAGCTCAGAAACGCCAATTGATTAATTTTAAGTGTATAGTTTAAGCGCTTTATATAAGAATCGTTAAAAATATGATATATAACTTATAATATAAAAAATAATATTATTTTTTAAAATGACTCGAATACATTTGTATGTATATTTTTATAAATTTTGCAGACGATGCATAAGGAATTGGCACAATGAAAGCGTAAATTGATAAGCGTTAGTCGCATAAGATTTATACTGTTTATGATAAGAAATGAGTACCATTTTGTAACGAGTATTGAGAAAGCTGATTTTAATGATAGTGAGCGTTGTATTGTCTATTTTGTAATGTTGGTAAAGCATGATCTAGTGTTTAAGGTTGTTTCAGAAAATTGTAATAAAACTAAGGAGATAAAAAAAATCGTTATATTTTATACGGATCCTGATATTGCGCCCGTCGCAGAGGCGGGCTTCGTGTTACTTTACGAATATAGAATGTAAGGTCACTCTTTAAAAGAGTTTTCGCAGGTAGTAGGTTTAGTAGGCTTAGTGTTTTTTATACCGGCTTGATGTTGTGACATTTATTATTAATATGATATCGATGAAGCAGAACCGAGCGAGCGGCCAACACTGATCAATAGCTGAATGTGTAGTGGGTTACTGGTCAAGAGATGGTTATATCGTTTTATGTTATGTAGGAGCGGGCAGCATCGTGTAGTTGTGATCTTTACCAAAGTGTCGCTGTCTCTGTTCGTAAGCATATCATTTTAATACAACGCTAGATACATTTCTCGGTACAAAATTTAGCGAAGTGTTTTATTCTATTGGTGTAATGATATTGTTAGACAATTCCTCGTTGTCAGTTTTGTAGTGGACGGTCCTGTATTGGTCTTACATTGAAATAAAAGCCGTATCTAGTCGACTTCATCGGCTCACGAATGAATAGTTCGTCTAATCAATGATGTCAGCGAGTTCAAATTGTTCCATTACAACTCTGGCGATGATCCTGAATTACTTCAGTTATTTAGCAGAATTATATTATTGTCTAATGTTTCCGATTATGTTACGTTTTATATTGCTTATATTATATATTATTAATACAATGTTCATTAAGTATTTAATATTCATTTGATGAGGACCTAGTCGATTCTCTATGATATCACATCTCCCAAAGTACAAATTCCTTGTTGTTTAGTCCAATTTTGTTTAACTGTTATTAACTGGAAATTATTTTAAATAGAGTTCGCCTCTTCTATGTTCGCGT